ATGTGTATATTTGACAGACCAACAACTGCAAGCCATGGAGGTTCTGCCCCTGTTGATACTGTTTCTAGAGCTAATGATCAGACTTTGGTCATAAGTTTTCTGCAACTGAAGGGAATTGGAAACATAAATATTTAGAAGCAAACTATTTAGGGATATTGAATTTATTGTGAATTTTAACTGTGTTCTGATCAGAGTTTTAAGTGTTTTGCTTTAAGCCACTGAGTGCAAACAGTAACTGTAATGGTTAGGGTTCTCTAATAATTCTGAAAATTTTAATTAAACTTTTGTTGCTCTTTATTTGACTTCTGTGTTACTCTAGGACCATGGTGGCTGATGGGCTTTATTCAGCTGCACTGTGTCTTAGATGAGAAACTGTGGCTCAAAGATGTATTTCTCCTTCTTTTCTGTGAATTCCCAGAGCAAATGCAATTACTCTCTTCTTTACTTCACCTTTCACCCAACTGTGGGGGGGGGAATCATAGCAGAAGCTATTTTTGTCCTATTTATGAAAATAAACAAATAGGCTCTGAATGTGTTCGCTCATGCTCAGTTCCAAAAGTGCATTACATACTGCTGTGGTTTCAATGTGTCCCCCAAATTCAGGTTGAAGCCTAACACCCAAGATGATGGTAGTAGGGTATGGGCCTGTGGGAGGTGATTAGGTCATGAGTGTGGAGCCCTCATGAATGGGATTAGTGCCCTTATGAAAGAGGCTCCAGGGAGCTCCTTAGCCCCTTCCACCAGCTGAGGAGACCACAAATGACTGTGTTGGCACCTTGGTCTCCAGAGCTGGGAGAAATAAATGTCTTGTTTATAGGTTACCTAATCTCTAATATTTTGTTACAGTTATCTAATGGCTGACCATCAATATCTTTCAGAGTTTCTCTATTATACTATATTTGTAGATTATATGTATTTAAAGCAATCTAGACAATTAAAAAAGGCAAAATATAGGATGATAGATAATGGGATATTGGGGGGGGGGTGGCAGTAAGGTGATTGACAGGCTAGAAAGAAGACGATAAAAGGAATAATAAAATAATGAGAAAAAAAAGGAAACGCAAAAACTGGACATGTTTACAGATTATGAATCTGCTGAAGACATAAAGTCTGTCACTCCTTCTCCTTGAAAACAAGCAAGATCAGAATAGATCCCCTCTAAAGGTTGCATGGATAGAACATTTTTGTGTATAAGATACTGTTAACGTAAAAGTATTCAAAGAATTTTTGTGAGTTTACTTGAGCCAAACTGTTGACAATTACTGGGAAGCAGTATCTCAAGGGATTGGGATAACGCTCCAGGGAATGTTGGTTTCTCATCTATTTTTATACATTGCAATTAAAGGAGGGGACATATGCGGGTTACATGAAATCCATTGGTGATAGATTAGAGATGGGAGAAAGCAAAGCTGGGGGGCAGGGGAGGACCCCAGTATTGGATAAAAAGTAAAATGATAGACACATACTTAGGTGGGTACAGGAAAGTTAACAGTCAGCAATTAATGATAATAACAATGAAGGTATTTGTGGTATCTGTCCTGGCATTCAGGCACATTAGGTTGTGCCCCAAAAGGTCTGGAAAAAGGGAAGTTGCAAATTATCCAAACATTTGAAGGATACGTTATTGTAGATGCAAAAAGAGGGATAGGCTCAGTTAAGGTGAAGGTTGATCTTGTCGGCGAAAGTACTGGCCTAGGACATGACTACCCACCATATGCTTTTAGTTAAAGTTTTAATTTGACTATCATTTGTGGTTACTTTAGGTCTTTAGGTTTGTAGGACTGCCATGCAGGCCTTCCCTGAACTTGTGTAGGTTAGCATGTGGCACCCCCACCCTTCACAATACTGTACATTGTTTATTTACAAATGCTTATGAGAGAGATCTGGTAGGGGTGTGTAGTACAGAGTGCAATGAAGAGAGCCCTAGCCCTATTGCTATCTTGTTTTTGACTTTTGGCAAAAATTTCACTTCACTGAGTTTTCTTTTCTTAGAAGGAGATTAGAGTAGATGCTAGATGCTTCCATAGCTCCCATTCACATTCTCCTAAACCTGCACCCAGATGGTGTGGGAGTTAATTACAGTGAACATGGAGAAGTCCCTCTTCTTAACAGCGAGAGTGAACCTAGTCCCAAGAGTGTAAAAATGTTATTCCTTAAGTACTTTTGTTTTCTAAAAAATCAGGAACCAAACAAGGGGAAAAGAAATTGCCCACCACACATCTTTTTTTCAATCTGCAAAGAAACCTTCATTGCAGATTTAAGCCTGGATCAACCTCTCTTTATTAGTTTATATTATCTTCCATTTCTTTTTTAATAGTACTCCATTGTATAGATGAATAATGTTTTATTCACCAGATCTGTTATGTGTTGCTGACCATAGGCTATTTCAAAGAGTGCCACAGTAAATTACTGTGTGTGTATTTAATGAAAACATAAATTTATTTTTCTCTTGGGGTTCTGTGAATAACGGGGATCAATTGATGGGATCCAGGGGTTCTCACTTGGAGTCTCTCAAGCAAGTGTAGGTGGAAGCTTGGGCTGCAGTCTCTTCAGCCAGAGTGCAAGGAGCTTAAACCAATGGCATGGTGGCCCAAGGCCAGAAGTGCCCTTCTCTGACCTCCTGGGTCAGAAGCAGCAATCAGCTATCAGAGCATAGGTTCCCAGGATTTGGTGGGCAGGGTCTTTTGCCCACCTTGGCTCCTGCAAGCTCTGTTTAAGCTGCTCCAGGAACCAGTTTATTGCCGCCTGTCATGTGACTGGGGTGGAGGAAGGGAAGCTGCTACTGAGCTAAAATTAACCACAGTATACTGTTCCAGTCTTCCCCTGGGAGTTAGGAGCCTTGAGTAGACTCCAGAGTTCCAAAACAGTGACGTCAGGTAGATGCCCTAGTGCAGCGGTTGTCTCGATGGAGAGAGAGGTTCTTCCTGCTCTGTCTTCCCAGAATCTTCTATCTTGCATATGCTATTTGGTATTGTTGGCGACACATCTTGAGGGTGAGATACTAGTAATGGGTTGCTAAAATAAATACATATGTAATCTCGTTAGATACTGCAACGTACTCTGTGGAGTTGTACAGTTTTACATTCCCACTAGCAGGGGATGAAGTGCCTGTGTCCCGCAGCCTCGCCAGCAGTGCATTGTCAAGCTCTTGAGTTTTTGCTGATCTGGGATGAGTAATAATATTTTAATGTAGTGATAAACTAAAGCCCAAGAAGAGAAAACAATATACAACACTGAATTTTTAATTTAAAAAATGCTTTTAAAAATATATATATTTTATTGATTTTTACACGGGAATTGAGAGGGATAGAGAGCTGGAAACGTTGATGAGAGAGAAACATTGACCAGCTGCCTCTTGCACACCTCCCACCAGGGATGTGCCCGCAACCAAGGTACGTGTCCTTAACCGGAATCGAACCTAGGACCTTTCAGTCCGCAGACTAATGCTCTATCCACTGAGCCAAACCAGTTTCGGCTTAAAAAATGCTTTTAATACAGTGTGGAAAATAGTGTTCGAATATGAAACCGGACCATCAATGGGTCCATGCTGACTGTTAAGCAAAGATAGGGTTGAATCATATCTGAGCTTTTATTCCAATACTGCCAGCAGTAGAGGAGAGCAGCAGGTCATCCACAGAAGTCTGCTTTGCAGCCCCCCATAAGCCAGCTGCTTATATAGGGTAGGACAAAGATTACATGGGGAAGTAGGCAGTGCAGGCTGGGTTGGGACTCTTGTTTGGACAACAAGATTGATCTTTCCATGATAATAGGCAGTTCTTGAATGGGAATGGACCACATTCTAGCATTGACTTCCAGGTTGTCTCCCAGATTCCCTGGGGGCATGCAATGCCCAGCAGCAGCAGGTTAGATTGTTCTTTCTTTTAAGCTGGCAATCACGGTTAACAGCATGATGAATATTTCCCATAACCAAAGCTAGTCCCCAGTATTCTGTTTTTGCCCTTAACAAAATCTCACTCCTGGAGGAAAAAACAAAGGTCCCCTACTGGAGGGACTAAGAAATGGCATATCCTGTACTAACCAGTTTGGCTCACTGGATAGACCTTGGCCTGTGGATGGACCACAGGGTCCGGGTTTGATTCTGGCCAAGGGCATGTACCTAGGTTGCAGGCTCCTCCCTGGCCGGGGCCTAGGTCAGGCTCATGCAGGAAGCAACCATTTGAAGTGCCCTTCTCACATTGATGTTTGTCTCTGTCTTTTCCTCTCTCTCCCATGCTCTCTAAAAATCATTGGAAAAATATCCTCAGGTGAGGATAAAAAAAAAAAAAAAGAAAGAAAGAAAGAAAGAATTGTCATATCCTATGAAAGAGACATCTTGAAAATTTCTAAAGAAAGTTGTCATTTTTTTCATGGTGAAGGGACTGGACTCCATGTTGATGAAAACACCTAGGCAACTGTGGTGGCCGGCAGTGGCAGCAGCAGCAGGGTGATGGGGGTAGCACCTTCCTCTGATCAGCCTGGTCACCTCCCACAGAGAGAGGCCAGACTGCAGCTTAGGGAACAGGCCTGAGCCATCAGTAGGACATCCCCTGAGGGCTTCTGGACTGGGGAGAGGGACCCCTCCCCTCTCCAGCCCAGTGTACCATTTTCTTGCACCAGGCCTCTAGTTGTTCTACACTGAGCTGGGAAAGGTAATTAACACAGCACAGTTAGAATACAATCATAAGTTCAGGTTAATGTAAAAAAATGAGAAAGATATGAGAGCGATGGGGCCTTAAATTAAAAAAAGATAGGGGTGTTTTGTAGTGAACCAAATTCTCCTCATTTGAACTTGATTTATTGGAAATGGGATGATCTTATAAACTGATTAAAGTTGGATAGTATAGTCACAAACTGTAATATCCCAAGTTGTACATAAGTAGTATAGTATTGTAAGTATAATATTAAAGTTTGAAATGCTCTTTATCTTTCATGCTTGTAAAACAAAATCATAGTTGGATATTTGGAATAGTTAAGTAACATGTCTCTCTTTTACTTTTTAGGATTTAAGTGCCCTGTATGCTCAAAATTTATACCGTCAGATGAAATGGATTTACATCTTGTGATGTGTTTAACAAAGCCAAGAATAACCTATAATGGTAAGTCCTGTACTTTAATGTCTTAAATGAGAATTACCTTAGATTTAATGAACTTCCTGGTTCAGTTAAAATTTAAAAGGCCAGGAAGCACCACTATGATCCCTGGAGGCCTGCTGGTGTTTCAGTTAGGCTTGGTGCTTTGGCTGTACCATTATTTCCTGACACAATGTCTCTAGATATTCAAAACCCTAGGAGAGATTTTTCCATGTGGTTTGGTACATTTTGAAATAGACTTGAAAACAAAAAAAACAATTAGTTCGCTCCTGACTTTAAATAAATGGAATAAAATAAAGGAAAAAGAGCTTTTCCTAAAATTTCATGAATAGAAGGACAAAATTCAAAAATTATGAGAAATTTCAGATTTTTCAGATGTACAATTTGGTTTGAAATAGAATAAATATGAAGAATACCAGTAAATAGTGAATCCAATTGAAAGATTGACTTAAATGTTTTGTGAATACTCTTAAGTTAAAGTATGGTGTTAGGAACTTGAGATGAAACTGACTAAAACAGAGATGGATCCTTCAATCTGGGATCATCCACAGGTTAATCAGCGTAGGAACATTTAATAATCTGGGATTTCTCCTCATTAAAAAATAATGTTGGGAGAGGTAGAATTTAGCATTGAAATGGACATGTTACTTTGAGTAGCTTTTTTTTTTTTTTTTTTTTTTTGCAAATTGGTTTAGGAATCTCTTATAAGATAGTGTTTCGGCCACACTATTATAGTAGTGACAATAGAACACTTTTTCCCATTTTTCGTAAGTAAAAGTAAGGTTTAGTAAATGTACCTTTTGATATATCCATACCTTTTTATATTATGAAATTGAATTGGCTACTTTGCATAATGCAGTTGAATTTCAGTTACTTAAGAAATAAAGCTTTCCCATTTTCCCTCAAATTTCAGGCAAAAGTGATTGGGCTTTCTTATACTTACACCATTATCTTATTGTTACTCTATAATTATTATATTTATTATCGATGTCTTTAAAGTAAATATCCTTAAATCTTAATACTCTGGCCTTGAACTTTAAAAGCACAAATGCATTTCTTTTGACCATGTAAAATAGTTGCACACAGTCTTAGTATTCTGTACATTTACTTTTTGTACAATATATTTAGAAAACAGTCTTATGTGTCAATATTTGGATAAAGTCATTAAAGTTTTTTATATCACTTGTTTGAGATCTTAAAGAACCAATAGGTAGTTTTCTGCTTGGAGATACTGTAAACAGCACATTTAGGTGAGTCAGAATCTTTGAAACAAGACTCTTTTTAATCACCTGGACACCTCACAGCTTCATATTCCTAGAAGTTGATTCCTTAGAGAAATATGCATCTAAATTGTGTTGTTAAACAAAATTCGGCTGAATACATTTAAATATCTAATTGACTTTATTCAGTGTTTCAGGAATTGGGCAATATGCCATCTAGCTGATACTGGGACTGTACATAACGAAGGGCTTTTACAAGCAAAGGTGGAGCCAGATAAGGAAGTTGTTATGAGAGAGCCAGTAGTTTGAGGCAAGACCATCTTTCTTGAGGGGAAGATGGGTCTGTCCAGCAGATTACCTAGCTAGTGTTGATCAGCTAATTTCAGATTGACTGGTTATAGGTTACATTCCTGGGAGAGGCTGAAACTGCAATTAGGTGAGGTATTAAGCTTTGATTTGCTGACTTGGGACTTAGCACAAGTGACTCCATCTTTGGCCTGTTGTCTCTTTTTTAACAACTCAAAAGAGAATTTTATTCAGCATAGTGGTTATTAATTTATACCTCTTGCAGTCTTATCTAAAGTAGCTAGATCTGAATTTTTGAATTCTATATGTTATATGTATATTGACTTAACTGTACAAACATTCATAGTTAGCAAGGAGAACTGGACTTGTTTTTTATGCTGGATGTATTTATAATCAAATTCTTGAAGCGGATGAATTGTAGAAATTTGAATATAAGTTGGTAATTTGCAGTTTCAAATTCATACTCACAGAGATGATATTCTAAATGTTAGCCTAGCCCACAACAACTTAAAAAAAACACCTGTGAATATATCAAAATACCACAGTCCCAGTAACTGAAGAACAGAATTGATTGATGAGGTAGAAGCTCCTCAGGGTTTAGGCAGCTGGCTCAGCAGAGGTTCAGATAGGAGGTCCAGAGCGATCACAGAGGGAGGATTCAGAGTGTTGTGGGTGGTTATCTACTACTGGTGGTATTTTGGTAGGATGGGGAAAATTTCAAAACGCCACAGTGAGTGTCCGTCTCTATAGATTGCCCTTAAATCAGGGACTGCCTACTTCATATACTTTTCCTCTCTCTCGTATTTCAGTTTATGCACCTAGAGATTCATTGTGTAGTCTGTGAACGTGATACAAATTTTACGAGCATACTCACCCTTCATTTCCTTGTTCTCCATCTTCTAAAATGTTTAAGAACGAGCCAAAACATGAGATAAACATTGTTAGCAAATTCTTAGTCTTGGTTTTGTTGGTTTTTAAACTTCACTGGATCTTAGCATGTTTTGTGTCTATTATAAAGTTCAGTTTTTATTTTAGAATTCTGTGGTTGAGGGCAGTAAGATTTGTATTTAAGAAAACTCTGTTTTATCTTTAATTGGTATCTTTTATTTGTGTGTGTGTGTGTGTGTGTGTGTGTGTGTGTGTGTGTGTGTACCTGGAGGGGAGAGGTAGCTTGAAATAAGTTTGTCTTCTGAGAATTCATGATAAACTCATGTAGTGAATCAAAGCAGAGCTTTTTCAAATCATCAGAAAGAAGTAAGATGTTACTCTTACTCTGTTAAATTGACATATTTGAAGAAATATGTATTGAGTTATTTGGTAGGGAACTGATTCTGTAATGAAAGTGAGTTAAAAGAATCCACCTGTGTGCTGTCCTTGGGAGGAAGTGCTGTCAAGCACTGGAATGTGGAGGTATTAATAGATTGCGGCAGGCCCTCTGTTCAGTGTGCTCCCGCAGCCTTCAGGTGCCTGGCTTCCCGTGTGCGCGGTGCAGGCGGCGGCCCCGTGCCTCCTCCCTCTGTGGATACTGTCTGGCTTTTCAGCCAGTTGTGGTTCCCATTATGTTATACACTTTGCTTTCTGCCTTACGTACTACATTTTCTTGGTTTTAAGACACACATCCTTTACATACACACACTTTTTAATGTTTCTCAATTCAGGATGTTTTCTGAATGGGCATGTCTCTTACAAGTGAGGCTAAAAAAAATTTGCCAGCAACCACCAAGCAGAATTTTAAATAAGGAGGTGGTTATTGCCTGAGTTTCTGTGAACTTGCCCTTCTGTGGAAGATTTCTGTTATTTATCTTTTTGTAAGAGAACATTTATTTGGTAAATTATAGAGGTAGAAGAAGTAATTTCTAGAAGAAATGGGCTTAGGAAACAAGTTATGAAGGCAGATGAAGGGCCACTGGATCTTGGGAGTGAGGAAGCTAATAATTACAGGCTGGAGGGGAGGGAGGAGGCAAGAGAAGGGGAAAGGCAGGGATGTGCTCCTGAAGAAGGGACAGTGCCCGATTTCTGTTATTGGATTTGGTGCCTGTGCTCATGTGTTTGAATTGGTGATTTCTGTGGCTGAGTTTTAACCTAAGTGTGATTCCTGATTGCAGTTTTAAGTGACTTAATAAAGATTACATTATAGAGAGGCATTGAAGTGATTTTTTTTTTGTACTATAAATTGGCTGTCAAGCTATGAAATAAAAAAATTAATGCAGTAGGAAGTGTCACATCTCTTACTCTATATTATGGAAATTTCAAAATAGGCAATATCCCAGAAGAGGTTGGCAAAACTATTCTAAAACCTACATGGGATTTCTATAGAAAAATAGTTACTTTCTGTAAATATAACACAGCTGCTTTTTAAAAATATATATATATATATTTTATTGATTTCAGAGAGGAAGGGAGAGGAGGAAGAGAGCTAGAAACATCAATGATGAAAGGGAATCATTGATTGGCTGCTTCCTGCACACTCCCTCCTGGGGATCAAACCCACAACCTGAGCATGTACCCTTGACCAGAATCGAACCTGGGACCCTTTAGTCCACAGGCCAGAGCTCTATTCACTGAGCCAAACCGGCTAGGGCTACACAGCTTCTTTATCCACTCATCTGCTGCTGGGCACTTGGATTCCTTCCAACTATCGCCTATTGTAAATAACGTTGCAGTGAACATAGTTGTGTATATTCTTTTGAATTAGTATTTTGGGCTCCCTCTGTCAAATTCCCAGAAGTGGAATCTATGAGTTAGAAGGCAGTTCCATTTTACATTTTTTGGGGTAACTCCATAATGCTTTTCACAGTGGGTGCACCAATCTGCATTCCCACCTGCAGTGTACTAGGGTTCCCTTTTCTCCACATTCTTGCCAACATTTGTTATTTGTGGATTTATTGATGACAGCCATTCTGACAGGAGTGGAATGATCTTACCTTTTTTTTTTTTTTTTAATATATTTTATTGATTTTTTTACAGAGAGGAAGAGGGAGGGATAGAGAATTAGAAACATCGATGAGAGAGAATCATCGATCAGCTGCCTCTTGCACACCCCCTATTGGGGATGTGCCCGCAACCAAGGTACATGCCCTTGACCGGGACCTTTCAATCCGCAGGCTGACACTCCATCACTGAGCCAAACTGGTTTTGGCTGATCTTACCGTTTGTGACAGTATGGATGGACCTGGAGAGTATTGTGCTAAGTGTAATAAGCCACTCAGAGAAAGACAGTACTATATAATTTCACTTACATGTGGAATCCAAAGAACAAAATTAACAAAATAGAAACAGATTCCTAGCTGTCAGAGGCGGGCGGGGTTAGATGGCCTGGGTGAAAAAGGTGAAGGGATTAAGAAAAAACAAACAAACCCCACACAAGACCTCATAGACAAACAACAGTATGGTCATTACCAGAGGGAAATGAGGATGGGGGAAGGAGGAAAGGATAAAGGGGGAATATATGGTGATGAAAGAGAAATGACTTGGGGTACT